GCTACCTGACCTATGCTATCCCAGCCTTTCAGTCGCTTACGTGAGGCCCCTTAACATTGAGCTCTCATGAATTGTCCACGACCGAGCTAATCACTGGCCAGTTGACCGAGCTATTCTTAGTGTTACATTACTATTTTCTAGGTAGTTTTTGTATAATAATATAAATATATTCTATTATTATATTTAAATATTTAGTTCACACCATATAGAAACAAAAAATTTGACAATTTAGTACTTTGTCGCTATTGTCAAATACCATATAGTGTTCCTATTGTCAAATCCCTCATAAACTATGTCAATCCTGAACGTCAAAATTGCGCATCACTTTTTGGTGATTCTTGGCTTTATGTATAGTTTTTGGTGTATAGTTACAAGTTAATGTATGTTTGAACCTTTATAAATGACTCTTAAGATTTTTAAATTTATAACATACTTTATTAATTTAAATTATAAATATTTTAAAAATTTATCAACTTTTTATGTGTTATTAATTTTAAATACATAATATATATTAAATTAATTATTTTCATAGAAAATTTGATCAAATTAATATTATACTAGCAGCCTGTGCACTAAATGGCTTGTTGATAAACGTATTTGATCAACAAAAATATACACCCCTATTCCGTGAATAATCGGTGTAGGATCGATTGTATGCATATTGAAGATGGAGAAATCAAGAACTTTTGTGTATTCTTGTTGTTGAATCAAAGGAGATGAATGAATAGGAAGATAATGAATAGTGACCTTTTTTTATCCAATAATGCATCCTCCCCCCTCATGTCTCACGACCCTATCTATATCTCTCACTTTTTTACACAAGTGGGCCAAGTGGGCCTATTAAAATAAAGATAAAGGGGACAATAGTATTGAATGCGATATGACATTGTGGGGCCCGATCGTGACACTTGACGGCTTCGAATGACGTCTACTTTATCGGCAATTATTGTGTCTGTCGGACTCGAATCTTCTCGATATTCTGGTCGGGCTGATGATATCAATTCTACCCAGCTCGAGTACGGATGATTTGGGCACTTGGGAACTCGGTCGATATTAAATAATCAGCTCAGAGAACCTGCTATATTTATATTTATTTAATACATATATCCACGTGTAATATTTTAATAGGCGAGGCCAAAATTGGATGTCAACATGACTGTTGGATAAAAAAAGTAATTGTGCAATAAAAATTTTAAATTAGAAATAAATCTGTTAAATAAAAATTATAAATAAGGTATATTTATTTTTGTTAAAAATAAATAGAATAATTAATTTATTTGACAGTTAATATAACGTCCATGAACAAACATGGATACAAAAGTATTTGTATTAAAAGAAAGAATAAAGAAATTATATTCTTATAATATAATGAAAAATAATTAAATACACAACAAATAATTTAAAAATGAACAAAGTTAATTATATAAGATGATACCCGTATTTTACACTCGATTTTGATTTTTTTTTTAATTTCACACACACACACACATATTACTGACAACTCAATAATTTAATTTTGAATTAATTTAAATATTTTCCAAGTATGATTATAATGTAATTATATTCAATATTATATTGTGCTCTTCCTTCATCTATTATTTTTTCAGATATCTTCAACTTGATACTATTTCAACAATTTTATAAAAGATAGTAAACATTTTTTATTATTTTTAATTATAATATTTATATGGATTTTTTTTTTCTTTTTAGTCCTTATTTATGTTGAGACATAAACTTTTAGAGGATTTTTTTTGATCATTTTTTAAAAGCTGTGGGACTATTTATATTTTCTGCATTCCGTCGGGACCAAAATTGTCACCCCCCTATACCTGTGGGACTAATTTTGAAATTTTCCCCCAAACACGTGATACGATTTAAAACAAAAAGAAATTCAAGATAAAGTTTATTAATTTTGGATTTTTAAAAGACTTTCCACAAATGGGAAGTCAATGCTTTTTTTACCAATTTTCTTAAACTTTCTCTAAATGATTTTTCTACCTCTCTTTTTCAATATATATAGATTCATGAATTACATATAAGGGATATACAAAATAAATAAATATTATACATATCTTTGTAGATGATTCTTAAAGGTGAAGGATGTTATATTACTAAAAATATATACATTTATTTTTAAAAAAAAATATTTAAAATAAATTCTTACTTATATTTTTATTCTAATATTTTTAAATATATTTTTTAATTCACATTACACAATTACACATGTAATGTATTACTAGTAATACTGTATTATAAATTAAATTAAAGTTTGTAAAATATATGAGCATTTTGATTCAGTCTTTGTTACCGAGGGAAGAGTCAAAAGACGCGTTCGCATGCATTGGATGGGATTCTGGCGTATTGGCTTTAAATACTAAATATTAAATTGAGGGCTAAACCGCCTAAACGGCATTCTGGCATTGGGCTTTAAAAAAGATGTTCGAAATGGTGAATCGAACAGTCAAACTACGCGTTCACCTACTAAAATGTTTTATCAAGAAAAATAAAATCTAAAAACGGTTTAAGTAGCATGGCATTCAATTTGAATCAGTAAGTTAAACACTCAAATGAACTTGTTTCTCCAAAATAAAATTATGACGGAACTGAATTAAGATTCTTCTTAAAGAAAAATGTCTTGAAATAGTGAGATGAAAAAGTACAACAAAAAGTAAGATAAATTTGAGGTTATATGAGATAAAAATATAATCATTAGAATTGATGTGATATAAAAATTATAAAATATTAAATGACAAGAATATTAATTTATAAATGTGAATGTGTGGATAATAATTTTTATAGAACATATATAATAATGATTATTTTTATCTTTTAATTATATTAATGAGATTGCAGATAAAAGGTGAGATTAAAAAAACAATATATTTTGTCGAGTCAATAATACAGGTAGAACCATGATTTAAAATCCTTTAGGCAAGAACTAGTCTTACACTTATTTATACTTTTTCCTTAGGTTTGTGTACGTCAATTGCGTTCTTCAATCTATTTCCTTCTTTTTTTTGTTTTATTCTTCTATTTAATGTCATATTTTAGATCTTTACTATTGAATATTAAGTATAATTATTTTATTTTTTTCTTATCAAAACTGTTAATTTAAACGACACATTGATATCTATTATTATATAAAGAGGGAACCTAAATAATACAGAAATAATAATTAAAAAATAATTCTGATTCCCGCTAAAAAATATACTAAATATAGTAATTTTTTCAAAATTTTGTGAATATCCCGATTAAAATGTGTTTTTGAATTTTTTTGGAAATAAATTAAATTGAAACATTTAAAAGAAAAAATCACGTAGGTACATTCCATCCGTTTTATCTTATATAACTTCCATATAAACTCCCAATTCTCAAGGCGGAAATTTCCCTTCTCCTCCGCCGAGATCGATGCCGACGATCGCCACGAGCTCTTCATGACCTTTGGAAGCAGGCTCAGGCCAACGTCCAGCGAAGCCACCATCTCCGGCAATGTGCATCAGGGACATGTCAAACGGGCATCGAACAAGGCGTCGAACATACCGTTGAATCCTCACCAGGACTCTTCTTGCAATATCAATCAGGGAAGCCCTCTCGCGGAATTGATAATACGTTCTTCTTTGATAATCTGGGATGAGGCTCCAATGATGCACAAGATTGCTTCGAAGCTGTTCAGACATCGTTGCAAGATATTATGGGAGCAATCGATCCTTCTAACAAGGAAAAACCATTTGGAGGCAAATCAGTTGTTTTTGGTGGAGATTTCCGACAAATTCTTCTTGTAATTCCCAAGGGTAGCCGTCAGGACATAGTGAATGCTGCGATTAATGCTTCTGACATCTGGAGGAGTTGCACTGTGCTCAGGCTTACAAATAACATGCGTCTTCAGAGCCTTAAAGATTCTGAGGAACGTGAAGAGGTTGCTCGGTTTGCTGAATGGATTGCGAGCATTGGGGATGAAACTATATGAGGGTCAAACGATGGTTGCGCAATGATTGACGTACTTGAGGATATATTGCTTAAACCATCTGATGATCCGATTGCTCAAATTGTAGAAAACACATATCCAATGTTTAAGCAGACGACCGATGATCCCAGTTATTTAGGACAGGGCAATATTAGCACCAACGTTGGATGTTGTTGAGTCCGTCAATGAATACATGACGTCGTTGAATTTATCAGAAGGTAATACGTACTTAAGTTCCGACAGTACTTGCAAGTCGGATGATAATAATGATTTTCTTTCTGATCTCCATACGCCTGAGTTCTTGAATAGTATCAAATGTTCTGGAATTCCAAATCATCAGTTGCATTTGAAGATTGGAACTCCCGTCGTGTTGCTGTGAAATATGGACCATTCTATGAGTTTATGTAATGGGATGCGGTTGGTTGTGACAAAACTATCCGCTCACGTTCTTGAGTGTAAGATACTCACTGGGGATCACGAAGGCAAAAAGTTGTTGATTCCTAGAATGACTATTACACCTTTCGATGTTAGAATTCATTTCAAATTTCAGAGGCGGCAATTTTCTCTTATGGTTTCTTATGCCATGACTATCAACAAGAGCCAAGGACAGTCGTTATCACATGTTGGTTTATTTCTTAAGAAGCCGGTGTTCAGTCATGATCAATTATATGTTGCCGCCTCCCGCGTCACAAATCGAAGTGGATTGAAAATATTAATCTGTAATGACGATGACGTGTCACCAAATCAGACCCAAAACGTTATGTACAAAGAAGTGTTTACTAATTTTTGTTAATTTGTTTTTCTCTATTTTATATTTTTTTTTTAATATTTAAAAGTTTCAAAAAAATATACCAGCTGTGCATCGCACGGTCAGTACTAGTAACTTTTAATGACTTTTGCAAGGTTTATGTAAAGAATTCGAATGCAATTAAACATCCTGATCCTGACATATCTCCTTATTTCAGGTGACAAAATTGATATTTTTGCTTCTCTTTTACAAGATTTCAAATCATTCGAAATATATTTACACCCTTATTACTATTTCTACGGAGTACACTGTACACGAAATATTAATCACATTCTAAATTATTGAAATGCCCCACTACCATACACAACTAACGAAGAATCAGTCTCGCGATTGGTGAAACAAAATGGTCAGATATATCTGCATATGAGAAGAGCACAAAAGTTGGTTAGTAATGAAATGAAAGAATCTGCAAAAAGTAATCCTGAATCGAAGTATAGAAAAAAGCAAGCGAGAAATTAAAGGTAGAGTTTGATACATGCACCTTTTAAGCCTTTGAAGTAGTTGGCACAAATCTTAGATGAGCCAGATAATTGCTCTCAGCAAAATCATGTAATGTCCGAAAAAATCGTGCTCCTTCAAGCTCATTTATACCGGACTCGTCCTTCAGAAGCCTTCGACATTCATTGCCATCCTACACCGAGTGTGCAACTTTAGTTGATATAAATTTATCAAAAAGAAAAGTATGCAGTGACATGGGACCCAAAAAATTATCATCAATACAACTAAAACTAAAACTACTTCCAAAAAATCCTCAAAAGGCAAAAATGCATTCAGTACAATATCAGTGTGACTTTACCTGTAAAAATTTCATCATCTGCTCTTCAATTGTGCCACTCATTGCTAAAGTTTCCACATGAATAGGACGTGAAGCACCCATTCGATGAGCACGACTAATAACCTGCTCCTCCACGCTATTCAATTTAAGAAAAACAATAAATCCAGTCAATAAAAATAAAAGGTGTGTGAAGAATGTCAGAACGTAGTTGAAGGTGATTTTAAATAAATCTGTTGGAAGGTTTAGTTCTACAAGTGAAGACGTGAAAATGTCATCTTACCTTTTATCCCATATAGGTTCCATCAGATAGACATGAGTCACAAAGCTCAAATCGAGACCAAGAGCTGCATTTCCATCCATCAACAGAACCATACAATTTGCATCATGCTGGAAAGTTGTTAATGATTTCATCTGAATCCCACAAAGAGCCAATTAGTAACTAGCACTCATGGAATAACATACAAAAGAAAAGTAAATGAGTACATACTACATACCTTAACGTTAGTGAGCATTGGACTGTACATTCCAACAAACTGAATTCCTGCAAGGCTTAACTGGGATGATGTTGAAGATAATTAACTGATTAGTTTCTCGAATACTTAACCAGAGGAACAGTGAAAAAAATTGAACCCATACATCGAAAAGACAAAATCATGAAAACCAATGATTATGTTTATTTCAGTAGTTACCTGTTGTTCAATGATGTGTATATGCTCCAGAAACTGAGAAAAAACAATAACTTTCTCCGGAGGATAAATTCTACTGTCGGAGGATAAATTCAACAGGCTAGACATAGCCTCACTACTGCCAATGGGGTATCCAATCATCCTCATATTAGTTTCTTGAAATTGCTTTAACTCCCCAACTAAATATGTAACTTTGCTGCTAGATGTTGACTGCCAATCAGGATTCCAGTCATCCTGCATCACACGGAGGAATCTTTAGAAAACACTGCAAAAGATTAAGGACATAAACAGCGATATGAAAGAAAATGGTCAGGTTAGCCACCAATGGCACTACTACTTTTCTTACATTACCACACAAAATGGAAGTTCTTTAGACACATCCGAAAAAGGTGTCTGGTATAGTTCCATAACAATAAAAATTATTTTGCATTTTCTTGGAACAAACAGTGTTATTTATTGTAGATGGCAGAAAATGGTGGCAGGCTGAAAAGCCATTGCGGTTGTCACTGCGCCTGCCATGGCAGACTGTGACACAGCCATAACCCGATTTTTCACAAATTTCTAGTGGTGATTAGGAACAAATCCACCATAATAACATCGTAGGTCAAATTAAATTATAACAGAACGTTTAAATAATATTTTCAATTGAATTAGGTTGACAAATTCTACTCACAAATTTAATAAAGAAATATGGTTCATACCTTAGCTGTATGGGAAAAAAAAAAGGAACCAACTTAAATGTACCTGTTTATATGAAGGTTGTAGCTCAATGAGATCCTTTGGCACTGGCCACTTGGGACTAGGATTCTCTGGACGCGCCAACTCTTGTGGACTCTGCATTTCATATGTGCTACCACAACCAGGAAATGGACACCTTTCACTGTCTAAAGCAACACAAACAAGGCATAAAAGATGCCTACAAGGTGTAATCACGGGTAAACGGCACCATTCACTGCACCTGAAAATATGAATACAAGCAAAATCATTATGGTCACTAAGCTAAATGAATTCAAGAAGGCTGAACCGCTGAAGGCGTGAAATATAAAAGGTCATTACCTCATGCAATTGCCACCATATGAGAGATTGTACTTTATTAAAGCATATTCCTGTGACGTAGGATCCAGACCTTTTTCTACTAGTATATCCATAGTTTCTTGAATATCTTGGCCAGCATCCACTACTCTGACATGTCCAGCCACGCAACAGGATAACCTCACATTTTTTATTGTTGTAGCCCGAAATTTCCACTGTTTTGGGTTCAATAAACTCTCAACATGAGATGGATCATTCCAGTCCGCCATTAAAATATTCCGCCGAACTGTTTCTACCAATTCATTGTAACTTTTTGCGTGTTGTTCGGAGAAATCCACAAAAGTTACTCTTTTTATGCAAGGTGGGATTGCCTTTAGATCTTTCTTCCTTGCACTGATCATGCACCTGTGATAGAGTGAAGGATAAAAATAAATACTTTCTATGCAGAAAATAAATAAATATATATATATATATATATATATATATATATATATATACAAAGCATCAGTATATCTAGAACAGTCTGTAGCAACCTGTTAAGCAACTGCAGCAAACGAGACCTCCCCTCCTCCATTTCTGCCTCAAATGGCCTGATGATACCTGCTTCCCAAGATTTATGATGCAGCCCATATGTCTCTTCCTTGAGAAACTTCAGCATTGGTTGGAGATATGACAGCTGGCTGTTAGGAGTGTTGGGAGTTGGAGTACCCGTCAACAACCAGCGACTAGTGGCAGTAAACGACACCGCCATTTGCAATTTGTTTGTCAAATTGAGACTTGAGCCAAGAGTGTGCCCCTCGTCCAACATGACTCTAAGCCAGTGAACCTGCATTAGGACACTTTTTTTACGGGGACTCCACTCAGCACTCAATCGGCTGAAGGTAGTAATTACGACATCGTAATTCCAAGCCAAATTGTGGACAGAAGGTTTATTCTTTTGATCACCCCATATATAGACTCTCAACTGACCTGGCCTGACATGCCTCTCAATCTGAGTTCTCCAATGCTCAACTAAATTTGAGGGGACAATAATCAAAGTTGCACTTGACAAATATAACCTAACGGAATCTAATGGCTCGCAGAGAGCAATCCTAAGGGAATCCAAATCAAAACAAAGGTCCCTAAGACCTTTTGGATAGAACCACTTCAAAGCACCCTTTTCAACTCTTTTTACAAGGCCAAATGCTCGGAATATTTTGTGATAATCGCGAGAAACCCTACTATCAAACAGGGACGTGCCCACAGTTGGGCTCACTAAACCAGTTGTTTCCATTTCAGCAAGTTTATCTGGTGAAAGTTTAGCTAGCCAAGTCAATGCTTTCCTTGTCTCCGAATTCATCAAGGTATGGTGTTCCTTTAAAACACCAGTAAAAAAGGATATATTTTCTTCCTGGCCACCAGAGGATCCTTTGGTACAAAATCCAGGTAGGTATGTAATAAATCCTTTACAATCCCAGGATTCTTCAGGAACATCACAACTTTGGTATGATGGGTCACTATTCATGCTACAAAACCACACTGTAGAAGCATTGGCGACAAGTCCATTTGTGAGCTTCCGCCACTTGCTACAAGCATCACACTGAACCCAAGTTTCATTACACTCTGCATCATATGTCACCATCTCCTGATCCTGACTTCTAGTGAACGATATACCACGTGGTGAAGCAACTTGGTTGCCCAAAAATCTCTTTTTTCGGCCTTTATTAGCTAGCTTCCCTTTTTTAGAGCATTTCTCAGAAGTAGTGAAAGACGGGTCCAAAAGATTTCTTTTAGCACTAGTCAATCCCCTGCTACCCGTCCCACTGACACTTGTTGTTGAGCTTGTAGGTGTGTGCATTTTCATTCGTTTATCAGAACGTAAAACAATGGATTCTAGCTTTTGCTCCGCGTCTGGGGTGAGTTCATCTAAAGATAATCTTCCCCTTCGAGCTTTCTTCACCACAGGTGTGTCAGTATTTGAAAAATTAATCCCGGTTATATTGTCAGCACTGATTTCATAATAGCCACACCTACGATTCCCATCATGCATGCACCAGATCACCTGTACTGTATCTGGGGGTTCTGCAATAGTTCCTTGTGTCTTCAGAACAAGTGATAGGGCAGTAATAGTCTTACCTAATCCAGGTTCATCACAGAACATTCCCCCACGGAAGTCCCTAATGGTAGAAGCTAAACCAGGGGCAATTTCACCAGAAACCATATTCATATTAAATTCAAACTTATCAATGGTATTGAAATCCATATACAGAGGATGTTTGAAGACTTTAGGATCCCTTTCACGCTGTAACATCCACTCAACTGCAGCCTGCTGATGAGGATACAACTTAAGTTTCATACATGGCATGATTGATGCTGCCAAGTACCTTAGATGATGGCATGTTAGAGATATCTTAACAAGGTCGACTGGGCTTAGCGTATTCAAAATATTAATCAAAAGATCATCTGACAGAACCCAGATACCAGACTCGTCGGATAATTCTGCAGGTTTTACTCCTGTTCCTCCATCACAATCTACTTTCTTTATCACGCAGGGTAAACTCTCGAAAATTTCCTGGATTTCGAAAAGCTTTCTTTTCTTCAAATTGTCGGGTGCACTACAATGCAGCATACAGCCAAGGACATGACAGTCTGGTACATTCCAAATGGCACCACTATCCACGCTCTGAGATGTAAGCATCAAGCTTCTAGCTTCCCAGTCACAGCTGTGAACAACATTTAACCACATCAGCATCAATTGAAAGAGCATTTATTTATCAAAAGGAAAACGGAAAATAATTACTGGAAACCATTCTGAAAAGATATTAGTTAAAGTATCAAATCGAAATAAATACTTATATAAAATATACATTCTGGCAAACCGCATAAGACTTTGTCCAAGAAAAGCCACTACAAGATTGGAAAAATGTTCGATTTTACTTCCTATAAAAATATTATTCCAAGCATTTGGCCTTGTAAAAAGGTACCCACAATCTTTTTATGAATAAATGTTACAAGAAATTGCAAGGACATGCATACAATAGCAAACGATCAATTGAAGTGAAATTATGTGACAGATATACACCATGTCCAGAAGTTAATCCACACCAAGGTGTAAAACATAGAAACAATCAGTTAAAATCGAGCTTAAGGTGTATCTCACGCGCTCCTGTTCACCTTTTCATTAAAGAAATGTCATACGAGCTTTTCAATTGCAAAATGAAACAAAAGATTAGCTCAGCACCTCAAGAGTGATTATTTTATAATTACCACGTTGCAATGTTTTCAAGTAATAGCAAAGATTAATAAGGTAAGAAGTAGGAGATCATAAAATCTATAGTGGACTTCAATTTTCGTATCCTTGCGCACATCAATTAGATTAGTAGCTCAGCAAGTTTGAAAAATCACATCACTGAAAAATTAAGAACTTGCATATCCATCAACAGAGTCTGCAGAAAATAGGTCATCTGAATCTTCCATGCAAAATGACCACACCATAAAACATGCTATTATGAAACAAACAGAAAGAATCAAAAGCTAGAAAGCAAACCTCAAGTGTTTGAAAAGGGCCACGGCCGTGGAACACGAGCGCGGGAACTGCCACCCAGACCACAACCCAATGGGCAGGTACACATCCACCAACACCACGCCCCTAATTTCCCCACACTTCGCCTGAGAGGCATTCACGATTCGGGCCGCAATTCTCAAGCACTTGTGAGCCACGAGGGCATTCAGTTGGTGGACCACGCTAATGGATCCGTGGACCATCCCAATTCTGCTCCACCTCTTCTTCGAGGATGGCGTTGCTTTGGAGATGGGGTTCAAGCGGGCGCCGTCCTGGGCGACTAAGTGTACGTTTGGAGGGACGCCGGCGAGGTGGCAAACCGAGCCGGGAGGGATACCGGTGTCCGGCGGGAATGCAACGACAGCACAGAGGTAACCGCACAGCTTGTGTTGGACGTCGTCTTCCATAATGATTTTGAAATTCTGATCAAGATACAATAAAGGTAAGGAATTGGTTTAAGATCAAAGACATGTAGAATTCCAGAATCCAACTCCTAAAGAATTTGGACGAATTCGTATCAACTTCACGAGATACGCACGCAATTCAAGTACAAAGAAGGAACGATTTATAAAATTTTGAGCGCAATCGAAATCAAATAGGATGGGACGGGTCTTTTAACAGAAAGAGGGAGAATACAACGTTGGAAGAACTTGGAGTCTGTTGTTCAATTTTTAATTTCCGAAACTGCAGGCCATCAAAATAGTTATATATTTTGTGCACGCTTGGATTTTAATGTGGGATGGTGAAAAGCATGTGGAAAGACGATATAGTATTAGTATCTGCGTAGCTGCAGGCTGCAGCACTCAACTCCTATACACCTATGACCGTATCCGTATGTATGACCTAGTTATAATTTTTATTATATATATGATATATATGGGCTAATTGTATGCAAATGGGCCTGAAAGTATGGGTCAGATAGAACGTGTGGATTGCATAATTCGATTACTTAAGGTATGTTTGTAAAAAGATTTACTCAAACCAAATTAATTCGTACTTAAAATCTAACTCAATTTTAACCTAACTTCACTATCTTCAATATTATAAATATAATTGAATAATAACAACCAATCATTCTTATACACCATATCAACTTTAATTCACTATTCATCCACTCACATAATTTTAACTAACAATTATTTCATACATCTCTCTCGTGCTTTTATATCAAATCAACTTTAATTATTTATTTTTAAATATTATTTTAATATACTCTCAAAATCCCACTAACAACTAACTATACTACTTTTTCTAAATTAATAACTAAAAAAAAGTCACTTTGAGTTAATTTGATTGAATTTATCATTTTACAAACAGACCCTTATTAACGTCATATATACTCGACAAGACATTATATGTGTAAAAAAATTATTAAAACAAAAACATATGAAATGTGTATGTGCTTCATATAAAATACATATTATATTATTCAACCTTCACTATATTTTGTTTCTCTTGACATTGATATAATCATACAAATTGCTAGCTATGACCTGACCGGATTACGTAGATATTTATGCTCTTAGGAAAGGTGTTTACGTTATTTCAGTTGCACCTCATTAGTGGTCATGCCACCGAGGTAACTACATTAAACCCCCAATGTTCAAGGCTCGACCTTGTAGGGGTTTGTGGACCGACGTAAACAACTCACTTACACCCAGTTAATCGCCTAAAAGAAGACGGTAAGACTTGGAGACCTAGATGAGCAGTGAGACACACCTCGGCCTAGAACAAAATGAAGGGCCTAAAAAACATGAAACACATGAAGATAAGCACAACCGTAGGGATAAGGACAAATTTCGGGCCGCCAGTTGTACCCTTTGGTAGCCCGTTGTACTTTCGGGCAGCCCTCGGGCAACAAGATTTCTTGAGCACCAAGACACATAATTAATTAGGCATGAACGTTGTCACAATATAAATAGGGGTAAGGTATGATCAGAAACTTCTTCATCATCTGATAGCTTAAATATAATCAGTGTCTTCCACATCTCTGTACTAACTTGATTGTTGGAGTGGTAATGCAGTGTGCACCTCTCGACCCCTATTTCGCAGGTCATCAGCTACGTCACAGACGATCGAGTCACCAAGTTCATCAGCCGGAGGTTCGGAGAGATCCAGTTACCCAAAAACCGGAATTATTTGGTACGTCACTATCATACACCATTAAGCTAATTTGATGCATCCTTAAATCCGTTTTCCTAAAACCTATTAGAACCAATCACGCAGTAAAAATAAATAAATAAATTGCTTGGGAGTGAGTCAAGTCGAATAATGTTTTTGAAGTTTGAATCAATATTACTCTAGTTGAAATGTTAAACCTATCAACCAAAAATACTGTTTGTAAGTCAAACAGTAGAAATTTATTTTAACCATTGTGTTGCTATGGCTTGTATTGTCATTTGTTGAAGGCAGTTGTTCACCAAGTTGGCAGTTGTAGAAAAGAAGTAAAATCCAACATTTCCAGCAAAAATAAACTCCTTCCAAAATTTATAACATGACATTAAACCATATCTAATTAATAGAAACATTAGACGTCTTATTAATTCCAGACAGGCGAACGCGTACATATACATATATATAACGGATGCAGTAGCAGAGCACTAGACCTTAGCCTGTAAATGAAGCCCATTACTCCTCCTACTACTACTATACACAAACCTCCTTGCCAAAAACACATAGCCACACAAATTGACCACACTCATCCCCGCCAGAAGCCAATAAAAGTCGTTCACCCGCGCCCTATTAATATTATCCCCGAGCCACCCATCCCCACTAACCCCCTGCACCACCGCAATCAAACCCGTACTCAAAAAACTCCCGACCCCCGTAACCGTAACATAAGCCGCGGCCCCTATACTCCTCATCCCAACCGGCATCTCCTCGTAAAACAGCTCCTGCATCCCCACCACCGCAAACGCATCCGACACCCCAACCAGCACGTACTGCGGGACCAGCCACCAGGCCGCCATGGGGACCACCGACCCCGGGCTGTCGAGCAGCCCATTCTCGTCAGCAGTCCGCACGCGCCTCGACTCCACGCACGCTGCCACGGCCATGGCCAGCGCCGACAGCGCCAGCCCAATCCCGATGCGCTGCAGCACCGTTATCCCTGACGGGCGGCCCGTGAGGCGCCGGGCGAGCGGCACGAGCGCCCGCTCGTAGAGCACGACGCTGGCGAGGATGGCGAAGCCCGTGAAGACCTGGGAATAGGCTTGCAAACAAATCAAATTTTTTTTATTCGAATTCGATATTCGTGATTCGAATTCGAAATGTTCGAATTCGAATACGAATAATGTTTTATGTTCGAAAGTTAAACGAATCCGGATTCGAATTTGTAGATATTCGATTCGAAATTCGAATATCGAATCGAATATCTACAATGTATATATATATGTATATCATACATATATATTGTTATATTCCTAATATTTTTATGACATAAAAAGTAATAACATCCTTAATTAACAATTTTCCCTAAAAATATATGGAAAAATAAATATTATTTTTGTAATTCTAATATTTTTTTAGTTATAATATTTTTTTTTTCTGAAAACGAATCGAATACGAATCAAAAAATGAGTTCATTAACGAATCGAATACGAATTCGAATCCTCGAATATTTTAACGAATCCAAATCGAATATCTTAGTATTCGCTTTGATTCGATTCGTTTACAACCCTACCTGGAAAGAGGCGGGCGGGAGGTCGAAGGTTTGGGTGATGGAGCGGTTCATGGTCGCGCCTTGTTTCGTGAAGTACGTGCCGAACTGGGCTATGACGACGGCGAACGTGAGGCAGCTGAGCCATATGGGGACAAGCTGGAAGACGAGCTTCGCCTCCTCGACTTGGGTCACCGTGCATAGCCTCCACGGGCTCGGAGACTCATCTTTTTCGTCGATGCACGAGGCTTTGTCTAAGAATCTCAAGTGGTGGTCACTTGACTCATGATTTCCATTCTCGAAAACACCACTGCCCGAAAACGGCAAGTGCCTTTTTCGGGCGGCGGCAACCACCACCTGGGCGACCCGGGTGAGGGGGCTACCGACGGGGGCCTGGCGGCGGTAGGTCCGGCTTCCGGCGAGAAATAGGAGGAGAGCAGCGGCTACCACTGAAGTTAAAATTCCGAAGCCGAGGCCCCAACCGATGTAATCCTCCACGTAGATGACTACCAGGACTGCCAGCGTGGCGCCGGCCACGATCCCCACGTACCACCAATTGAAGAAGGAGCTCTTTTCTCTCTCCTCGAATTGGTCGGCCGCGAAGGTCTGGACGCAGGGCTTGTGCCCGCCTTCTCCCACTGATAAAATGTACAGTGCTGTGAAGAAAACCGTCTGCCGGAGGTGCACGGGGACTGCGACCACGCTCGCCGTCAGCAAAATCAGACCCTGTTCCCAATTCAAATTCGACAATTCAAGTATAAATTGAATTAAATTTTTTTTTATTTTAGATGGAAAAAGAAAGGAATGTTGTAATTGTTATCCATAAGTCTTGTTGTTTGTCTGTATTGGATCATCATCAGAAACAGATCAAACCAGAAAAGGACAAAGGGGGAAAAGAAAAGTCAAAAAGGTATACTATACAACGAGGTAGGTGACGGAGGCAATAAGGATGGTCCTGTAACGGCCAACGTAAGAGTCCGCCAGAAAACCGCCCACCACCGGGAAAATGGCGGAGACGCCTTGCCACGTGTTCACATTCTTGGCGGCGGTGGCCGTGGGCTGGCCAAGCACCTTGGTCAGGTACATGAACAGGTTGCCGCTCACTCCATAGTATGCAAATCGCTCCCCCACCTCCACAACTGTGTTTAATTAATTGTGTATTATGGAACATTTAAAATTCAAATTAATTATCCAATCTCCACCGAAAAATCAGATATTAATTAAAAGAAAAGCAAAAGGGGGAGAGATGTAAACATACAAATGATGAAGATGGCAGATTTCCAGCCACCTCTTGAAATTTGTAGTTCGTCGGCCATAGGAATTATTGTGTAGGAGACACCCAACAAGGTTTAGTGTGCTTCTCTTTTATAGTACATAGAACCAATTATTTTTTGAATAAAAAGAAAGAAAAAAAAAACGCGAGGAAATGCACGAAGACACTTTTATACCAAATCACACTATTATTACCTTTTAAGTAAGGGTCAGTTTGGTTGGACTTATTGGGCTTGATATCTAGCACTTTGTTATTATTTCCATAAGATTAAACTGTTTGGTTGCTTAATGGAAAGTCCTTTATATTGCTTGGGCCCGGCCACATTATAAACAAATTGTTGGATTACACATCCCTCCCCTAGTGTGTGATACATTATCCCAATATTAAGTGTCTCTTTCTTTTTTACCGAAATACCCTTTATATAAATACTAAAATCTGGTCGTTCCACTTCATTACTGCTCTCTCACAAGAAAACCTAGGGTTTCCACGGCCCTTCTTCCATCGCAGGCGACTTGAGTCGAATCTCAAAAGGTGCGGATTTTTCTTCCTCAAAGTTTCAATAGATTTCATTTTTTTCTCGAATCTAACCTTTTTGCGTTATTTTGTTCTGGTAAACTGTTGTTGTGGACTGGACGTTCGTCGCTAATATGGGGTTCGTCGGAAATATTTGAACTCTTCAAAGGGTGGATTTTGATCTTGCTTAAGGTAACAGTCTGACCTTATGCACCTACATTGGCTTTGATTTATTAATGGTGGAGGGTTCAAATGAAACTGACTTTGTATAATATTTTTGCCTTTTTAATTTCCGTGTGTCCATAATTCTTTATCTGCTATAAGATACGTTTCGGCTTTCTTTGCTTTGTTGTGAACTTAGATGTGCCATGGTTCGGTTCATTGTTTGAGCGAATTGTTGCCTCTGTTGTCAATGTTTTCAGCGCCAGAACAGTGAAATCAATTGCTTCTTGGGTTTGTTTCATTGTGTTTAATAGCATATTTACCTTTGTCATTGTTATACAAGAATGACAAAGGTGCATTGATGTTTTCTGTTCATTGTTTGCAATAGCAAATTTGATATCTCATTCTTAGAGGACATTAATAACTGTGTACTGTTATTGTTTGTCTTATTGTTTCCAATAGCAAATTTGATTTCTCATTGTTGTTGTACAATGAAAAGTTGTATTGTTGGTATTTGTTTCATTGTTTCTAATAAAGTATAATTTGATTAGTGATTGTTATTGAACAATGACAAAAGCGCATTGTTGGTGTTTGTTTTATGCATTGAATATCATATATCTGTAGACAACAATGATGCATTATACATAACTTCTGTTGTACAGATTTTGAACAGTTATTTCATAAAGCTCATCAAAGGTATAACATTCAATGGCCGAGATTAACAAGAGAAAGGCTGAACTTTATGTTGTTTTGGAGGAAATCATGATTGAATGTACATTTTTCATTAATATGGTGGTAGCATTAAGACGGCAACAGAGGTCTATACCATCTAGAGAATTTACAAAATGAATTAAATATGTGATGGTGAATAGGATTCCTAGACAAGTAGAACATTTGAACAATTTGGTGGTCTTGAATGAGTTAGATTGTATGAAAAATTTGAGGATGACAAAGGGAGCCTTTGCTAGGTTATGTTACCTTCCCCGTACAGTTAGTGGTCTGTCTGATTCCAAATATGTAACAGTTGTAGAGAAGGTCGCTCTCTTTCTTTCTATAATCGCTCATCATAAAAAGATGAAGGTTGTTAAATTTGACTTTAAGAGGTCTAGTCAAACTGTAAGCATTTACGTACATGAGGTCCTTTCGGCGATTTTGCGTCTTCATTCTATCCTCCTAGTGAAACCCAAGCCGATTGATGATTCACACAACAATAACAACAGATGGAAATGGTTCAAGGTATTTTCCCATGTTAAAGCTTATTAAATATGAAATTGTGGTAAAAGATATTTTAATATTTATTAACAATAACAAAAAATGAATCCCAATTTGAAAATAGGGGTGTCTAGGCGCCTTAGACGGAACTCACATAAGAGTGACAGTACCGGAAGTTGATAAGCCAAGGTACCGCACCAGAAAGGGAGAGGTTGCAGTGAACGTGCTAGGAGTAGTTGACCGTAACCTAAATTTCGTTATGTATTGTGTGGATGGGAAGGTTCTGCAGCCGATTGTCGTGTTCTTAAAGATGCAATAAATAAACCTAATGGCTTGAAAATCCCTAGAGGTAATGAAGGAAAAGGGTTGTCCTTTTAAGATTATTGTTTTAGGTTTGTATAGATTAAAAAATAAACAACAAATTAAATTCTCTCTTTTGTAGGTAACTATTACCTATGTGATAATGGGTACACAAATGGTGAAGGTTTTTTGTGTCCATACAAGGGAGTAAGATATCATTTGAAAGATTGGGGGGAAGGAAGGCTTACACCTCAGACCCCTCACGAATTTTTCAACATGTCCCATTCCAAAGCTAGAAACGTGGTCGAGAGGTCATTCAGTATTTTGAAAAAAAGATGGGCGATCTTACGTAGTCGAACGTTTTATGATATAAGAACTCAAAATAGACTAATTATGGCTTGTGTGCTATTACATAATTTCATTCGAAAAGAGCTTCCGGTGGATCCCTTAGAGATGATGGTCGGAGAAGATGAACAAAACGAAGATGGTCCCGATGACTTGTCATTTATTGATTGTGTTGAGACCTCTGATCAATGGTCTGAATGGAGAGACACATTGGCTATATCGATGTTTAACGATTGGAGGTGTATTAATTGAGTGGATATGTAATTTTTAATATTGAAGACAAATTGTGAGAATAATGAACTCATTTAGGTTTGCTATGTAATGAAAACCCAACTATTTGTGATTTATTTTACTTCATATTTTCGTCCTCTATGTATCTACAATGAATGCAATATCTTGTTGATTTGTTACTGTTTCTACTATTTTCTTGTAATTTTTATAATTATACAGTGATGATGAACTCTCCTTCAACAATGAATCCAAAACTGAGAAAACCACGAGCTGACAAAGGTCGAAGGAGTTGGAGTCGGCAAGAGGAGGAAGTTCTTATTGCTGCCCTCAAAGGAATCATCACCAGTGGTTGGAAATCTGAAAATGGGTTCAAGATGGGGTTTCTTAACATTCTTGAGCAAGAATTGGTGAAACAATTGTCAGGTACTGATTTGCGAGGTATGCCCCATATCAACTCCAAAATACATGTGTGGAAGAAAGATTATGGTAGTCTGTGTGCTATACTATCATGAAGTGGTGTTGGATGGAACGAATCAACCATGATGGTTGAATGTACTGACGAAACATGGTCGGACTATGTGAAGGTATGTTTTTCAAACTCCAATATTGTTTGTCTTTGTTCTAAAAATAGGTACAACTGTGATGGTTATTTTGTGATTTGTTTATTATCAGGTTGATGGTAATGCTCGTGCCATGCGTCACAAATCGTGGCCATACTACTATGATTGGATCGAGATTTTCGGAAAGGACAGGGCGACGGGCCACCAAGCTGAAGACCTATTTGATGCAACTAGCAACGTGAATGTATCAGGCCCTCCATGTAATTTATCTGAACCTATGGAAATTAATGACGTCAACATGGAAGAAGAGGTTAATGAGACAATGTCAGAGAGCACCCAACCATCTTCTACGGGGACGAAAAAAAGTGTAGGGCGTAAGCGAAAGTCAGGTCAGAGTTCTGATCCTCTTTGTGAAGTTCTGAACAACTTTGCCGAAAACACGGGTGCCTGTTTGGAAAAAATTGCGAAAAGGATAGGCTATGAATATGATGTTTTAAGTGCTCGTAAGGATGTTTATTCTATTGTGAGGGGAATTGAAGGGTTGAACCTACAAGAGCAGCTGGTAATCTCCAAGATTTTAGTAAAAAATATCGACGAGCTAGATTTGTTCTTCAGCCTCGATGATGTTGCTCGAGTTGAATTTGTGCAAATGAAGTTGGCTGGAGAAATATAGCGAGCCACGGTTATTCTATTTCAATATTATCAAGTTTGTATTTGACTTGTTTTGGGATAAACTTTATTATACTATTTAAGACAGGATTTGGTCGACTATGCTTATTTATGCATGATTTGTGTCCCTGCACTTTGTTTTCTTTTGTTAGAGATGGGATGAACTAAAATGTTTTGCCTTTTGGATTCAAACTTGTATGAACGATGTGTTGTGGGAATGTTATGTTAAGGTTTCAAGTATTCTGTTGTTAGTCTTTCTACATTTTAAGATTTGTTGTATTTTGTTATATTTTAGTGTTTCCATGATAAGCATCATAACGTGTGAATTATTTACATCAGGTATGTGAGGAAATAAGGCTTAGTCAATTGTAAAATACGATTGGCAATAAATGTAAAAATAGGAAATAACATCATAGAAATTTTCATAACCCTTTTATATATTTACTACACTTTATGAAAATACGATTGGCAATAAATGTAAAAATAGGAACGTGACATTTTCAACACTGCCTACATAGAAATCATAAACGAGTTGGTAACAAAAAAAAAATCAATTCAGGACCAAAATGTAAAAATAAATCCCAAATCAAAACAATGAAAGTTATGTTAAAAAAGAAATCAGCAAATTGGCAACCACAATAAAAGTGTGTTAAAAACTCGGCATTGTTTAAAACGACGACCATTTTAATTCAAAAGAGATGGACATAGTCATACATGATTTCCGGAATTAAAATTCCAGAATTATTAAACCTACATCAACTCCTACCATCCTTCGAATTCCGACAAGGCGTGAACCGTTGGCTATGGTAGATTATTTGTCATAACATAAAATTAAAAGGCTTCATCAGATAAGCCTAAAGAAGCACCCCCTACTTAATACATCGCCGTTTTTTTTTTTTTTTTNATGGTGCTCTCTGTAAGGAGATGATGAAGATGCAGTAGAACTGCTTGGAACATCATAAATGTTGTCATTGTTGTTGTCCCACTTGTGTGACGCCCAGTGGTTCTCGAACTTTCTCATAAAAGCAGAAGTGGAAGCTAGGGTGGTCGGTGGTTTATCCTGGTCGGCAAC